GGCGCGGACCCTCCCTCCCCAGGACCCGCCAGACGCCCGCGGCTCCCAGTGGCCAGCGCGGTCCGAATCGACCCCAAGCTTGACCCGAGGGCAGCGGGGCCCCCGGGGATGCCCGGCCAGGGCGGCGTCGCCGGCGTGAATGGGGGAGGGGGCGGCCGGGGCAGGACCCGGGGCAGGGCCGCTCTGGTGGTCTCCTGCCCGCCCCTCCCCAAGCCCAGCTCCCGGCCTCCCTCCCTCTCCCCCGTCCAGGGCTGAGGACTGGGGAAGCTGAGTCCCGGGGCGGGTGTGGGGGGTGGGGCTTGGGATGCAGCAGGGGACCCCGAAGCCACCAGCAGGGGAGAAGGCCCCGTGCCTGAGCCAGGCTCGCAGGTAAGACGCGAGGCCGCAAACCCCGGCGGCCCCCACCCCCAGCCCAGGCTCTGATCTGGCCCCACACTGGCGTTTTGTGGAGGAGAACCTGGAATCCACGGGAGATGTCAGCCAAGCCACGCAGCACAGGGGCCCAGCCTCCAGGCGCAGAATGCGAGCACCCAAGAGACAGGAGGTTCACCCAAAGGCAGGGTTCACCCCTGTGTTCCCAGAGACCAGACACGGAGTGGTGCTCAGTAAATGTGTGTGGGATGAGTGAATAAATGATGGAGCATTTATTAAGCACCTGTCCTTGGCTCTCCACACAGAGATGAGTAGGACAAGGGGCTTCACAGCTCTTGGCTCTGTGTGTGTGTGTGTGTGTGTGCGCGCGCACGCGCATGAGCATGCATGCATTTGCCTCTGCGTGCCCATGTATCTGCATATGTGCACGTCCGTTTGTCAGTGCACATGCATGTGCATGTGTCTGTGTGTATATCTGTGTGTGCATGTGCCTGCGTGTCAGTGTGCATTGTGTCTGTGTGTGCTCATGTGTGTGCATGTGTCTGTGCATGTGTGTATCTGCATATGTGTCTATGTGTGTCTGTGTGTGTGTTCATATCTCTGTTCATGAGTGCATGTGTCTTTGTATGTATATCTGCGTGCATGTGTCTGTGTATCTGTGTGTGTCCATGTGTGCAGGTGTCTGTGTATCTGTGTACAAGTGTCTCTGTGTGTCTGTGTGTGTGCATGTCTATGTTTGTGTGTTCACGTGTGCATGTTTCTCTCCAGGTATGTGTGTCTCTGTGTTTATGTTCGTGTGTGTGGATGCCTATGTGTGTTCATGTGTACATGTTTCTCTGTGTGTATAAGTGTCTATGCATGTTCATGTGTGTGTTGTCTGTGCATGTTCACATGTGTACATGTCTCTGTTCATATCTGTTCATGTGTTCATGTGTCTGTATGTATATCTGTGTGTGCATGTGTCTGTGTGTGCATGTGTCTGTGTGTGCATGTGTCTGTGTTTGTATGTATATCTGTGTGTGCATGTGTCTGTGTGTGCACATGTGTGTAGGGAGAGCTGGGGGGTTCTGGCTCTGAGCTTAGTAGTCTATTCTTCAAATATCCATTTCTTGGTGTCAGGCATGACAGCCCATCTAACTTGGAGGTTTTCTGCCCCTTCGCTGAGGCTGGGTGAGATGAACACCCATTTCTCCTTTCTTTGTTGAGCCATTCTTTTCTTCCTCAGGATGTTTATCTCAGGAAATGCAGAGGACCAGAACCAGGCAGGACCGGGCACTGGGACGGAGGCAGCTGTCTGCAGGGCGTTTACCGTAGATATGTATCACCTGTTCTGAGACGGAGCCGGGGAGGCTGTTTTTAATCATCCGGGAGGTGATTACGATGCAGCCAGTGTGATAAACCCTGGTCTGTTTTTGATCAATAGCCATTCCCGTGTCCCTCCTTAAAATGCCGTATTTTTCTGTTTATAAAATGCAGGTTGTAAAATGTTTCCCGACGTTATGAGGACAGCTGCTGGAATAATGATGCAGGTAGCTGGCACACATGTAGGGCAAAGGTTTCACCAGGCACGGTATTCTATGCCTGTCACCTGGTTAGTACCAACAGTAGCCACGTTAAGGTGTGATACAAACTGGTGTTACCTAATTTTCCATGTGAGGAAATTGAGGCACCCAAAGGGCAACTGGCTTGCTCAAGGTCACGTCAATGGCAAAGCATGGATCTGGGATTCAAGCCCAGACAATTGGGCTCCAGAATCGACTTTATTAGTCATGGTCACTCAAGAGAAAACATCATACACTTTTCATTACATGTTTAATGAAAATGATGTTAAAGTGGCTTTGTAGGAGAAAACATTTTATTCTTGTAAATACATTTTACTGCATTCTAAAATCTAGCAGGAAAAGATGTGGCCTAACTACTATCAAGATTTGGGTAAATTTCATTGGAAATATAAGCATGGGAAAATAATGGTGTACTTTACATGGAAGGGAATCCATCTGATAGTCCGGCAAACTATCATTTGCTGGATTTTCAGGACATACGGGAGGCCAGGTGCAGTGACCTCCCCCCAGCAATTTGGGAGGCTGAGGCCAGTGGATTGCTTGAGCCCAGGAGTCTAAGACTAGCCCGGGCAACATGGCAAAACCTCATCTCTACAAAAAAGTACAAAAAATTAGCCGGGCGTGGTGGTGCACAGCTGTAGTCTCAGCTACGTGGGAGACTGAGGTGGGAGCATCACCTGAGCCTGGGGAAGTCAAGGCTACAGTGAGCTGAGATCACACCACTGCACTCCAGCCTGGGTAACGGAGTGAGACCCTGTCTCAACAAACACACACAAACACACACAAAAATATACATATGCTGAATGCTCAGTGAGTTGTAACATGTGAGGCAGCCCCCGGCGTACAGATGAGCCCCTGTCTGAGAAGACGCATTACCCCACAGAGTGCAGAGATGAACCCCTGTCTGAGAAGATGCATGTACCCACGGGGTGCAGAGATGAACCCCTGAGAAGATGCATGTACCCACGGGGTGCAGAGATGAACCCCTGAGAAGATGCAAGATGAACCCCTGAGAAGATGCATGTACCCACGGGGTGCAGAGATGAACCCCTGAGAAGATGCATGTACCCACGGGGTGCAGAGATGAACCCCTGTCTGAGAAGACGCATGTACCCACGGCTGCCCCTCATCTTAGCACCACAGTGCCAGCCCCACCCCGTCTTTGATAAACCCCGGCCTTCCAGGGCCTCCCTTAGAGAGCCAGACCCTGCCGAGTCCACAAAGGTAGCTGCGGTCTGGGGCGCCGACCCTTCGCATTGGGAGAAACCCTCACCAGTAGCATCAACCCCAGTGAGCCGAGGTCACACCACTGCAGCATCACCGGGGAGGCACCTGGTTGTCACTGCAGAACTCTGGAGGTGCAGGCTCTCGTGTGGGTGGGGGCCATGGAGGACGCAGCGTGGGATTTGAAACGAGCCCAGTGAAGGGAAATGCTGATACTTCAACGTCCGTGAGCTCAAGCCCTGTGGGAGGTTTAGCCTCGATTACTCTGTACAGATCTGAACAGCATTCACCCCCAGTTGGACGTGGCCCTTTCCTCGAACCACAGATTGGAACGCAAGGTCACTGAAGTGCTTTCTGGCCACATCATGGAGAGAAAGGCATTTTTTCACTCAGGCGTCACCCAGGGAATGCAGCGTGCTGTGTTTTAGCACCTAAATGTGTCCCTCGAGGAGGCAGGGTTATGCCGTGATCACAAGCAACCCCCAAATCTTAATGGCATAAATGACACAGGGTAATTTCTCACGGGATTGCGCGTCCACCTGGGTCACCGGGGAGTTCTGCTGGCCAGAGTCGCTCGGAGCCCCTGCGTGAACACTGGATGGCCAGCCGGGGAGGAGCACTCAGGGGCCTCGCACTGTCCATGCCCCACTCCGAAGCCACACCCGTTGCTTCCACCCGTCACCTGCTGGACAGAGACTGTCACACGGGCCCCGAATGCAGTGGGGTGGGAACATGGGCCCCTGGACGCAGTGGGGTGGGAAGGGAGCTCCTACCGCGTGCTTGGAAGACGGGAGAACCAGGGTGTTTTGGTGAGTAGTGCTCTCTCAGTCAGTACCGCAGCCTTCCAGCAAATCAGAATTTTATGCCAAACCCACCTCACGCCCCCAAATGCCAGGCTCCCCAGTGTAGCAACGAATGACACGCTGTCGAATCAGACTTCAGTGCAACCATGTCACAGAAGACATGACTAAAGCAAAACACGGCTTTTGGTTTTGACGAGTTTGGGTCTGGGCCTCTGCTTCCCTCTCCTGGACCAAGATCCTCTGGGCGTGGAGTTCAGGAATGAGGGTGGGACCTTCCCCAGGAGACCCAAGTGTGGGCGGCGGGTGCTCGGACCAAGTCCTCACTGAGAGTGACCTCGACAGACATCCACTGGCAGCTCCAGCTTAGCCCCAGGAGACAAAGTGGGGGTCACTGACACCCCAGATTTTTTTTAATGACTGAATCATTATTTGAACGCTGGTCTGTTGGATTTCAAGACCTGTGATTTTTCCACTGCTGACTCCTGGGACAGCAGAGTTTCTTAGATTGGACATAACAACACACTGATCCCCTCCCCTCCTGCTTTTCTGTTTTTAAAATCTTTTTTTTTTTTTTTTTTGAGGCGGAGTCTCCCTCTGTCGCCCAGGCTGGAGTGCAGTGGCCGGATCTCAGCTCACTGCAAGCTCCGCCTCCCAGGTTTACGCCATTCTCCTGCCTCAGCCTCCCGAGTAGCTGGGACTACAGGCGCCCGCCACCTCGCCCAGCTAGATTTTTGTATTTTTTAGTAGAGACGGGGTTTCATCGTGTTAGCCAGGATGGTCTTGATCTCCTGACCTTGTGATCCGCCCATCTCGGCCTCCCAAAGTGCTGGGATTACAGGCTTGAGCCACCGCGCCCGGCCAAAATCATTTTGTTTTTAATTCACAAATATTGCATATGTCATATGGGGTACCATGTGATGTTGATATATGTTTAAAATGTGGAATGATTAAATCAGGCTAATTTACTTTTTTTTCTAAAAGGACCTTGGATTCAGAATTAACTTTAATTTTCATTCCACTTTGCTTATTTAGCCTTGGCAAGATCAGTCCTTTGTGGCACGTCCAGGATTTAAGCTTTGGACCACCAATAAGGAGGGCGTTGGTCTGAGCCTGCTTTTCCAAATGCCGTCTTCCCTTCTTGGGCTCAGGCAGGAGATCCAACTGTAAGTGGCTTTAAAGAGACAGCAGACATGTCTGTGGCAGTCTATTCATTGCCCCTGGGTGCCACCCTTGCATGCCCCCATGTGACAGCTGGTGGCCCACAGCCCATTAACTCTGCAGATGGGCACAGCAGGCCTTGGGAAGGCAACACAGGTTCACAGTGTGCTGAAGACGGAGAGATGCAGGGGACTCAAACCCACCGGCCAAGGCACCACCCGCTTCTCCAGGTAAAGAGGTGAGTCCCAGCCGGTGAAGAGATGTGAGAAGTGGTGCCAGGGTGAGAACGTGTGTGTGCCTCTGTGTGTGCCTGTGTGTGCTTTTGTGTGTGCATGTGTGTGTGCATATGAGCCTCTGCATGTGTGCACCTGCACATGTGTGCATACATCTGTGTGTGTGTGCATGTGCGTGCATGTGCACCTGAGTATGTACATGTGTGTGCACGTGTCTGTGTGCACATGAGCTTCTGTATGTCTGCGCCTGCACATGTGCCTGTGTGCCTAAGTATGTACACGTGTGTGCATGCATGTGTGCCTGTGTGCCTATGTACATGTGTACCTGAGTGTGTGCCTGCACATGAGCACATGTGTGTGCATGTTTGCCTGAGTATGTACACATGTGTGCATGCATGTGTGTGCATGTTTGCCTGAGTATGTACAAGTGTGTGCATGCATGTGTGTGCATGCGTGCCTCTGTGTATACTTGAGTATGTACGTGTGTGCATGCATGTTTGTGTGAGACAGGGAGACAGAGGGAGTGAAGGAGGGAGAAAGAGAAAAAGGGAGAGAGAGGAAGATGGAATGGGGATAGAAGGGAGTTATAATAAAAATGGAGGACTTTGGGTGCATTTTCTGCTATTTTCTTCTCCCCAAAACACTGTAAAGGGGTTATAGAATTTGAGTTTCCTCCCAGCTAAAATTGCGTTTACCCCTTGGGTGCTGACCCAGCTCTGTGATGACTGTGGTGCGATCCCGGTTCCCTGGCAGCACTTGTCAACAGGGTCAAATGCCTGTTCCTTGCTGGTCTCTTCCATGGAACAAAAACCTCACCTAGGAGGTTTCAGGTTTTGCCTCAATTTATCAAATCTGGCATTAGCGCACCAGATACCACTCCAGACACTTTTCAAAAATGCATTCTCTGCACCTTCAGAGCAGCCCTTCGAGAGGGGGCATCTGTGCTATGCCCGTGGTATAGATGGGGAAGCAGAGGCAGCTGGAGTTTCCATAACTGGCCTGAGGCCGCGCAGTTACAGGAGATGGGGCTGGGGCTCTGCCCGGCAGTCCAGCTGTTAAATTCATCTCTAACCTGCCTCTGCTGCCAGTGAATCTAAAATAGATTTTTTTTTTTTTATCCTACAAAGGATTCATTTTTCCTGTTTCCTCCTGGCCCATGATGTGAACAACTTGCCCCTTCGTCGTAAGCGCTCAGGTTGGTGAACAATTCACCCACCAGCATATTCAAACCACGGCCAAACAGTGGCTGAAAATGACAGCAAGCAGCCACTTAGCACAGGGATCTGTCAGTGGGCTGGATGTGACAGGGAGGATTTGGCTCTGCGCCTGGGTCCAGGACCCTGAATGGCAGTGGGGTTGGCTCTGCACCTGGGGCCCGGGACCCTGACTGGCGGTGGGGGCTGGAGGAAGCTGCGCTCATTGGACGGCTCGGCACTCACACATCTGAGGGTTGTGGCTGGCCTTGGCAGAGACCTGCTCCTGGCAGTGGCTGAGCTATCGGAATCCAGCACCTGCCCCTCCACTTGGCCTGAGCTTCCTCACAGCATGGCTGCCGGGTTCCAAACTCCAGCCCCAGGAGAGATGGCCAGGCGGGAGCTGCATCATGTTCTCCCATTTCCTGTTCTTGATTCACCCCCACTGGGCACTGCAGCCTTCCTGCCAACACAGCTCTCAGGAGTATGGCTGCCACACGCAGAGGCATTTCCCCACACGGTCCTCCTGTGTGCTGTAAATGCCGACAGCTCCTCAATGGAACCCGCGTATGGTGGGCGCTGCTTCCTCGTGTAAATGCTCCCAACTGGTTTCAAGCCGACAGTACGACCACCGAGTCCAGAGTCAGGAACGACGGCTCTGCACGCTGGTGGGAATTTTCCCTGGCTCGCGCCTGCACCCCAGCCATGGCTCTGTGGAGCTCTCCGTCCCAGGGAACCTTCTCCTGGCTTTCACGTCCTGCCCCTTCCCAGATTTCCGACCTCTCTGGCTGTGCCTTCTGTGCCTTCCCTGCAGCCCTGATGTGGGCACGGCTCATGTCCAGCACTCCTCAGCACTTCCTTCTTTCCCAGCTCCGCCCACGACTTCCTCCACGCCCGCTCCGTTTCTGTCTGAGTGCGGGCCACTCCCAGGTTGACACCTGTGTTCCACGTTGCACGGCTCGGTGTGTGGGCTTGGACAGTGGGAGATGCAGCTTTCCATGAACAGCCCTGGTGTGTGGTCTGGCAAGTGGCGAGGCGGCTCCGTGGTGGTCAGGACTGAACTCGGGGTCTTGCTGCTCTGCCACCCTCCACCCAGATCTGCAGCTCAGAGCTGAAGGTGACATTGTGCCTTCTGGTCAGTGGGAAGGAGTTAGGAGAGGAGAGGGCGGGACCCGCTTCTCTGTTGAGGGTGTGGGCGGGAAGCCCAGGCTTCACTCCCCCCGACAGCCAGGCATGTGGGTGACGTGGCAACGTGCGGGTGACGTGGCAGAGAGCGGGTGACATGGCGGCAAGCGGGTGACGTGGCGGCATGCCGGTGACGTGGCAGCATGTGGGTGATGTGGCGGCGAGCGGGTGACGTGGCGGCGAGCCGGTGACGTGGCGGCGAGCGGGTGACGTGGCGGCGTGTGGGTGACGTGGCGGTGAGCGGGTGACGTGGCGACATGCGGGTGATGTGGTGGCGAGTGGGTGACGTGGCGGCATGCCGGTGATGTGGCGGTGTGTGGGTGACGTGGCAGCAAGCAGGCGACGTGGCGGCGTGTGGGTGACGTGGCGGCGAGCGGGTGATGTGGCACCCTGGGCGTGGGGAAAGTGGGAAGCACTGGCCTCGGCTGAGCAGCTGCCGCCGCCTGTCCCTACATGAGCAGGAGAATGGCTCACGGTTTGCGTGTCAGGGTCTCCCGAGGAACAGTCACTGGACGTGTGGGGATTGCAGGCAGCTCATTCTCAGGAACCGGCCCACGGGATGACAGAGCCTGAAAAACCCAGATCTACAGGGAAGACCCTCAGACTGTCTGAAGGTCGACTGCCAAAGAGGCCCCATGTCAGGGAGGGAAATCGGTGCAGCTCAGAGTCCACGATTTAAATGTCAGTCTCATCCAAAAACACCCTCGCAGAAGGATCCAGAGAAACGTCTGACCGAATGTCTGGACCCCGTGGCCCAACCAAATCTACATGTAAAATTAGCCATCACGGGCCACGCAGATGCCTCTCTGGGTGGCACCGACTGTGGCGGCCTTCACGGTTCTCTCGAGCTAGAACTTCCCATTCACGGGCAGAGCCTCCCAGCAGGCCCACGGCCCATGCACCGCGGCCCCACAACTGTCCTCCTGGGTGCAGGGCTTGCTCCATGGGGACATGTGCACCAGCAGACCCCACGAGACCGCCCACGCATGTGCAGGCCCTGAGCGAGAGAGACCCTAGACCACAGCTGCTGCTGCGCCCGTGAGGATGCACCCCCAGAGGAGACCTCGGACGGGGAGAGAACGGGGCAAGGGCCAGCGGGTGACAGGTTTCATTTCTGGCTCCAAGGAGGGCCGCTGTTGCCTCCGACTTCCCAGAAGTGGCACGAACAAAATCCTCCTCTCCCTTAAGCTGGGTGGAGCTGGGTCCACGTTGCTGCAGCTGTGAGTGTCCGGCTGTCCCCACGCGGCGTCCTGAGCGAACATCACATTCTGCTCAGAAGGGACATGTCACCTCGCCAGCATCCCCTCACAGGCAGGACACCTCGCCCTTCACCAGGTCCACCTCCTGACAAGACGTGTGGCCGGGGCCCAGGAGCGCCGCGTGGCCGACGTTTAGGTCACTTCTGCGGCAAGTCTTGCTCTCCCGGTCGGCTCCTTGGACGTCCCTCCCTGTCACAGCAGGTTGAAGTGGGCCCTGTGAGACCATTGGTGTCCATGTAGCAAGAGAGAAGTGTGGGCACAGACGCACAGAGGGAGAAGGCCGCGCGGGGACCGGCGCAGAGGCTGCAGCGAGGTGGGAGCAGGAGGGTGTGGCGCAGCCTTGCCAGCTGAAGGCCAGATGTCTCTGGTGGGCCTCGCAGGCAGGGCTGGAGAAAGGTATCAGCCGGATCAACGGCTGCACAGCAGGCACCACAGTGAGTGGATCTGCTCGAGCAGCGAAGTCACACCTGGCACAGCAGCTGCAGCTGGAGGCCCCACCTGGGCCAGCCTCAGGCACCCATTGCTTCCCCAGGACGCATCTGTCTTCTGCACAGGCCAGATGGCTGAGCCGGATGGGGCTGGGGGTGGATCGCCACCGCTGCATCTTCCAAGGACCTGGTGGGGACAGTGAGCTCTGCGGCCCTTCTGCCATGCGGTCTTGCTTTTGATTTATGGCTTTTTTTAAAAAAGTAGAAGCAGCTCTGATGTCTCCCACCAGCATCTCCCTCCACCCCAGCCCTCACGCCACAGGGCAGGGAGTGGACATGGGGTCTGCCAGCTCTAGTGTGTCTGTTCCAGTTGCGCACCTGGAGCTGGGAAATGGCCCTGGGATGCATCCCGGGACCCACTGGGCCTGCGGTGTCAAACCTGAGCTAAAATGGCACGGCCACCCGCCCTCCACAAGCCCCTAAGTGGAGAGCCGCAGTGATGCTTTGGGGTTCCCAGAACCAATGTCAGTTCAGCGCCCATGTCCAGGAGTCCCTGAAAGGTCTAGTTCAGACCCGGTCACCGAGGCAGAAGCCCACAGGTCCCGCAGGGCAGGGCAGGGAAGAGGAGCCCACACTTTCAGGGGGCCCAGGGCCCTTTCTGAAGGGGTTTGGTATGTAAACCGCACACATCTGAGAACCTGAGACCTGCTGGAGGGGCTGAGACTGGTTTGATGACTCCATTAGACTTTTGTTAATCTAAAACCTTCCTGCTTATGTAGATTAGGTAAAGATTTGGGAGGCCTCCCGTCGGTCCTTGGAAGGAGTGCGGTGGTGGGTCGCTGATACTACGGGTCCACGACGTCCCCTCACCTTCAGCTTCACTCCAGTTTCTGTTACTCATAGCCAACTGCAGCCAAGAATACGAAAGCCCAGGAGGAAATCGCTCACGGGTTTTCAATCGTGCCGTTCTGAGCAGCGTGGTGAACCCTCACGCCGCCGAGCTCTGTCCTTCCCGCGTCGGGGCCCTCCCTACGCCCAGCGTCTCCGTGCTGCGCACACTGCCAGCCCGCGCAGGGTCACGCCACAGGAAAAGGCATCGCGTACGGGATTCGGAACCACCTGGGGCTTCGGGCATCCACTGGGGGTCTTGGAAACAGCCCCCACACCTCACGATGAGGGGGACGACCGCGCATGCGTAAGGCTACCCTGACTGCCGCTCGGCCTGGCCGTCCACATGGTCACACCTCCCGCCCTCCCCTGGCAGTGGGTGAGTCCCGCCTACGGCTCTGCCTCCCGGGGTCCGTTCGTCCCGTGGTGCTCAGGCTTCCGAGGCAGTGGCCACGTTTCCCACCAGAAGGAGCCATCACGGAGCCCTCCCCGGTGTGGAGTCCCCATCAATGTATTTCTCCCAGCTGTGGTGACAGCCTTGTCCCCAGGCCCCTGCTGGGGTGGCTGGCAGGTCTAACGACAGGTCCAGCCTGACACTGCAGCCTCCCTAGGCCTCTGGATCCTTCCCTCCAGTTACACCAAGGCAGGTGCGCCGTTTCCAGCCCTCTCGCTGGGCCACCATGGGGCCTGTGTTCCAGGCAGCCAGACAAGCAGCTCACACCCATCCCGCCCCCCGAGCTGCGGCCTTCGGCACAGGAGCTCTGCATAGCGAACCCACTTCCAACGTCAGCCCAATGCTGCGTTCTGTTCCTCCGTTACCCACACACCCTCAATATCCACCCCACATGCTCACCCTGGGCCCTGATCCTGGAACTGCTGGAGCTCCAAGACGAACGCTCCTCCCCGTGCCTGATTCCTGGGGCAGCCTCTGCCTGCTGTGGACCGTGTGTGCTCCAGCGTGCGGATGAGCTGCTCCAAGCTGCGCGGTGAGTACACGTGGGCCCTGAGCACTTGGGGGTCTCCCGAGGAGGGAGGACCAGCCACTGGCAGCTGATGAGCACGTGGGAGGCTGGAGGAGGCAGAGTGGAGCCCCGACATCTGACTTGGGGTGGGGGGACCCAGGCAGGGACTGCAGGAGGGTGGGGGTAAAACACTGCGGGAGGTGGGGGGAGGACCTGTTGGAGGCTTCTGCTGGGCTGGGGGCAACGCGGGGGGTTCCCAGGAGGGGCGGGACCGAGAGTCCCAGTGTGGTCACCAGGGCTCAGTCCAGTGTGGTTGGCTGGTGTCCGGGCGCCGGCACCTCCCGAGCTGAGTGTGTGCAGATGAGACTGTTTGTTACACAGAGCAGCCCCAGGCCCGTGCCTGGCACCACGACAGTGTGCGGGCCAGACAGGGCCTCCTGCAGCCTCTCCAGGGCACCCACGCACAGCACACACGGCAGGCAGCCTCCTCCAACATGAGGCAGTCTCCTCCCGCTCGACGCCTCCCATGCCCCTCCCTGTAGCTGGTTGCAAAGTGCAGGAAACACCTGCCTGGTTTTCTGTCCCGAGGGTGGCTGAGACCCCGGCACTGGACCCCTGAGGCAACCTGTCTAAATGCAGAAGGCACGCAGGCCACGGTCCCGGCCACGGCCCCAAGAAACCCAGTGCTTTCCCCTGGGGGCTACTGATCGGCCGCCTCTGTGGCCAGGCACAGGCCAGGGAGTGCAGAGAGGCCCACCCCCCACTGCAAGCCTGAGATGCGGACACCTCACAGCAGAGCAGAAAGGCCTCACTGCAGTGGGCATCCGGGGCCAGGATTTGGCCATGCCCGGGGCAGGTATGACAAAGGGGGCCACGTACACGGCGTCGTCTCTCGCCGTCCTGCTCCATGCACACTTTGATCAGATCAAATCCCATGGGGTGGGGAATGGGAAAACACCAGAAATTATTTTCTTTGCAGGTACAAAAGAGCCATGACTTTTGTTGCCCTAAAAATGAATTCACGGAACGAAGACAGTGCGGGAAGCAGGTGTCCTCTGACGCACCGGGCCACCCGCCGTCCCGAGCCCAGCCCGCCTTCCCTTCTCCGTGGCCTCCCTTCCAATGGAGGCTTGGAGGGAGCCAGTCGCTGAGCCTGCCTCTGTGCACATCCAGCTGCCACCTCACCTTCCCCTTGCCCTGGCTCAGTCCCAGGCCTTGGTTTGCAGATGCTGCTCCCGTCCTCCCTCCCCCAGCCCAGAAGATTCCAGCTGGGAAGGGAAGGGCGGAGAGGCCGGCAGTGTCCCTTCAGGGGAGTCCCACCCTCTGCAGGTGATTCCCTGGTGGTCATGGGAATCACTGGGTCCCTCCGTCCCTGCTCCACCCTCAGCCCCTTGAGAGGAGAGAGCCCTGGGGGTCACCATCTCCCCCGCCCACCCGCTGTCAGCTGGGGTTCCTGCCTGCCCTTCCCAGTGGCCCCTCCGAGGAAGAGGATGTGGCAACCTCCCCCCTGGGCTTTGGGAACAAGAAGCCAAACTTGCCATGAAATTCTCTCCTGTCACTCAACTGCTTCCCCCTCCTGCCCGGTGTGAACCATTCAGCAAGGCCCCGCCCTCAGGAGAGAAAGCACAGGAGATGCTGGAGTGCTGTGAAGGAGACTGGGGTACGGTGATGCTGTGTATGCACATGTGTGTAGCTGTGTGTGTACACGTGTGTCATGAGTGTGTATGTAAGTGTGCATGTGTGTTCATATATGTCTGTGTACATGTGTGAATTGTGAGTATCCACGTGTGTGCATTGTGAGTATGCACGTGTGCAAGGTGTGTGCATTGTGTATGCACATATGGGTGTGTGTACACACATGTGCATGTGTGAAAATGCATGTGTGCATTGTGAAGTACATGAGTGTGCAAGTGTGTGAATGTGTGTATATGTGCGTACATGTGCGTGAGTTTGTATATACAAGTGCATGCATGTGTGTGTGCACACTTGTGTGTACATGTGCATGTGCAAATGTATGTTGTGTGTGTATAGGTGTGAGCATGTGTATACGTGTGTCTATGTGTGGATGCATGTGTGTACAAGCATGTATGTCCACGTGTGCATCTGCATATGTGTACAAGTTTGTGCATGTCTGTGCATGTGTGGGTGTGCATGTGTGTGCATGTGCATGAGTGCGCATGTGTGTACAAGCATGTGAGTGCATATGCATGTGTACACATGCGTGCATGAGGATGTGAACGTGCACAAGCATGTGCGTGTCCCTAGGTGCATGTGTATGTGAGTGCTTGTGAGTGTGCATGTATGTGTGTATGTGTGAGTGTGTATCTTTTGCCCACCTCAGAAGGGTGGTGGGGAGCTGTTCCCTCTGGGGAGACCACATCTGAACTGGATGAATGGCGAAAGAGTTGTGTAAAAATTGGGTGAAGATGTTAGCAGGTCGCAAAATCCCCCAGGGCTGAGGCCTTACACGGGATGGACAGAGAGGAACTTTGGAAACGCGAGTGCTCCCTCATTCGCTGTTCTAAGCCCTTGCTGAGTGCAGCTTTTCTGTGCCCAGGATCTGAGCTGAGCAGGGATGTTCTGCTCCGTGCAATGCCAGTGCTGACTGGCAGCCACTGGGGAGAACGGGCCACCCCTGGAAGGCGCTCCAACTCGCATGATTTATGAGGTGCCCTCAATGTGAGCTGGAACAGCTTGCTCCTTCACACTAAATAAAACCAAAAGCGGCACAGGAGTGCGGTGTCTGTGAGCGCCTTGTGTATACAAATGACCATCATCAATCTTTCTGTTCTGTCATGCATCTTTGGGGAGTTTGGCTGAGAAGCCAGAGCTGGAGAGAGCGCCAGGAGGGAGAGGAAGCAGAGTCCAAATGTCCTGTGTGTCTGCGTGGGTCCTGGGGGAGTGGGTGCTGTCCTGCAGGAGACGGGGTCTCTGTTGCTCTCCCCCTCCCCACTCCTGCTGTTCGCGGCTCCTGAATGGCACAAAGCAAACCTGTCTGTGCGGAGCATTGCTGCCGGCCAAGGCGTTCGGCTTGAAACAGTTCTTGGGAAGCCCAGTGAAGGTCCCTCTGTAACAATCTAGAAGGTCACTTCTTAGAACAAAGAAACCACCCCTGGTGTTCGGGCCTGATGGGGTTTTGTGTTAATAGAGAAGATTTTGTCAGCGGCAGCAGAGATCCACCGCAAACCAGCCTAACCAAAGGAGGAAAGATGCTGATTTATAGAACCAGGACTTGTGTAACAAGTCGAGGGCCTCGGGCACAGCTGGATCCAGGAGTTAAATGAAGTCATCGTGCTCCTTCCGTGGGTGCGTGTGGCTGACTCTCCCCATTCTCAGTGGCCACACCCTACAGCGTCACCACCACACGGCAAATGCTGAGCCTCTGGTCCTTACGGAAACGGGGTCAGGTTCCTTTGAGCCTCTGGTCACCACATTTTCACCACCCATCAGTCTGTCACCTTGGTCTATGTCTATTTCTGCTTAAAGACACCGTATTTAGTGTATAGAGTTGATTCATTTACACTGAACTCACAGCCAACAGCCCACACAGGCCCGAGCAACGCTTCTCCGTCACACGTCACAGCTCCTGCACTCAGGATCACTGGACAGAACCTCAGCTCTGTTCCTGAGGCCACTTTAAGCTGCAACATCACCAACAAGAGCACAAAAATGCGAACGACGTGACGCTAAAGAGAAAAGGATGCACGTTTACTCCGAGAGCGGGCACAAGAAGGCGCTGCGGCCTCGCTCCCTCCCCGCCAGGGACGCGCATGGCGACGCGGCTTCCCGAAGCTCTGTGCACGCCTGTGAATGACCAGGAAAGACCCAGGTACTGACCTGGGGATTACGAATACGTTTTAGCAAGTAAGTGGACGTGTCTGCGTCTCTGCCCGCCCCCCTCCCTCCCACCTCCCCTCCATCCTGCGCCCCTGGGCTGACTTGATTCCCAGGCGGGGCCCTCCCAGGATTTCTATCAGCAGCTCCAGATTCGCCTCTTGCCCCTAGAGTTCCCCACCAGAAATGCCAAGGGCCTCTTCTCAGCAGCCCCAGCTACAGCCGCCGGCCCCCAGCAGGCATCTGGTTCCACCCCAAGAACAGAAGTGGCCTCGTGGGCTGTGTAGGCCGGTGGGTTGGAGGTGGAGAGGGAGAGGCCATGGCTATCGGCGGGTGGCGGGCAACAACCTGGCCTTTACCCTCAGGGTCCCTTTGCAGGAAGTCAAAGCCCCCACGCTCAGCGTCCGGAGCTCAGCACCTGCCTGCCCCAACCTGCCTGCCCCTCCATCCCCACGCAGTGAACAGTGACTCTGTCCCCGCTATGCCTGGCGGCAAAGTTGACCCCTGACTTCCAATCTGTCAGCAAACACCGTGGGCTCCACCCCCAGGTTAGGTGCAGAATCTGCCCAATTCTGGCCACCTCTGCGGCCCAGCCTTGACCCCAGGCACCCTTGTCTCTCAGCTGGACAACGGCCGAGGCCATGGCTACAGCACCCACCGCCCTCCTGCCTCTCCCAGGTCTCAGTCGGTCTCCAGCACAGCAGCTGCCGTCACACTGAGGTCAGTACACTGCCCTCCGCGCCGGACCCCGCAGCACCCCCCCTCCCTCCCAGTCAAAGGCTCAGTCTTCACGGAGGTCGACCGAGGCCACGCAGCCCTCCCCTGCTCCAGGCAGCTCCCTCCCAGGGCCCTCCCGCGCCAACCCCTCTGCCCGGCGCTCCTCCCTCCAAGGACGACTCCCCGTGTCCTTCTCCTGACCTGGCTGCTCACGGCCCCGCAGAGGACACGCTGTGCGCCCTCGAGCACTCCCAGGCCATTCACACGCATGTCCGTGATGCTGTGGGCAGCGGTCGCTGGGACCTGCCAACGTGGGCTCCGTGTGCTGAAGCCCCGTGGAGGTGACTGACCGGAGAGCAGGTGCCTTGGCCAAGCCGGGCCCTCTGGGGCCATCATAGGTGAAGTTTTCCCGTCTGCAAATGAGAATGCAGGGATACTGACCCCGCACCGTCCGCCGGGACTCCCCGGTGCTCCATGGGTGGGTCTGTCTGCTGCAAGGGTGCACGACCCAGGTGGGGAAAATGGAAGACAGCAGAGGTCACCTGGGGGCAGGAGCCCAGGACGCCCAGCCCGTGACCACACTCAGAGCCGTCTCAGCCCATGGATGACTGCAGTTTCCTTGTGTGCAGACCCCGTGAGGAACCTGACCGCACGAGGCTCCTCCAGGGCTCCGTGAGGCCCTGTCTTAGGGGCCTTCACCTGCTCTCGGCTTTAAACGAACCACTGAGAATCACCTGTAACCACCTCACAAAGAAAATAAATCTCCGTGCTGGCTTCAAGGCTCTGGGGCCAGGGCTGTGGGCTTTTCCAATCCTGCAGGCTGTGGCCTGGGCATTTGCCAACTCTCACTACTGCATAATTTAGTCTAATTGATCAATTAAATCCAGATAATTTTTAAACAAGCTGTAATAACAGTTATATAATTTCAGTACCACGTATAATTATCTTTACCAAAGGAAATGACTTTCGAAGACATGCCGTCTGCGTTCTGGAAAGTGTCACCTCTGGAGCTGCAGGACTGGCAGGCAGCTGTCCTCTGAGCCGGCCGACCCTGGGACGTCAAGGCTGCCCTTGGAGGAGGCCGTCACTGTGGGTCTGAGTCCCGCGGCCCTTCTGAACCGCCGCGTCGTGTGGCCTGTGGGGACGCTGTGACGCCTTCTGTGTCATCCGTAAGAATGAGAAACAACCGCCTAGATCCGTGGGATTAGGAATCCGTTTCTATTGCCACAGTTACACTGTGTGACAGCCACATAAATCCTCAGAGAAGAGCAGGAAATACTCACTTCTGCTCACGATTCTGTGGGTTGGCTGTGGGTTCTGAGGACTTGGTTGGGCCTATGAATCCGTGGCCGGCTCTGGGTCTCCCCGGACTTGGCCATGTTCACCTGTGAATCTGTGGACCCTGTGGGTCCCCCTGGACTTGGCTGGGCTCACCCGTGAATCAGTGGCTGGCTATGGGTTTGTCGGTGGCTCTGCTGCCCCACCTGGCTCCTCTGTCTGGGCGTCCGTTGAGATGATCCCACTCTCTCCTGGAGAGCTGGCCTGGGCACATTTCCGTGGTGATCATGGGGTCAGAGAAGACATGAAGATACTCAAGTGCCGTTCTGAGCCCTGCGTGCATCCTGGTGGCCGCCGTCCCAGGCAGCAGAAGTCCACTTCAGGGGACTGGTCGCACCTGTGACCTGGGCGCAGTCGTCCGCACCCCAGCCTCCGCCTGGTACACCTTGGGTTCCTTCCACTCTGATGCCGTGGTGGTGTCGGGGTGGCCTCTGGGTGCCCTTCAAGGTCGGGGGGCGGAAGCTTACAGGCTTCTGTGTCCTGGAGACCCACACTGGGGACACGCCTGAGCTCAGGTCAGGTCCGTGACCTCGAGCAAGTTACCCCACCTTCCCATGCCTCAGCCTAACCTCGCTTCACCTGTCAAACGCCAGCAGCCACCCGGCCCTGGCAGAGTCGCACAGGGAGCGTGCGGGCGCTGACCCCACAGCAACGTCCACACAGCGTGAGCCCCGCCCAAGCCCCGCTGCTTAGTTCATTTCGTGACAGACACTGGGAGAGCCGTGAGTCCCCGACACAGAGGAGCCGAGGCCAGGGAGGCGGAGCCTGGAGCTGGTCGCCGGCGTTCAGTTCTGGGCCTGCCGTGGAGTCCGTGTGCCAGGCGGCCTAACAAGCCCTGCTGGCCGGGCGCCTCCACCTCCAAACATGTACCCTCTTGTGGCTCTGGAGGCCATGGCCCGCACAGCTGCTTCCTTCTGAGGTGGGAGGTGCAGTCCGTCCCCGCCTGTCTCCAGGGCGGCTGGCGTTCTCCACCTTTCCTGGCTCTAGACGCGTCTCCCAGCCTCTGGCTTCGTCTCCCGTGGCCTCCTCCCTGTGTGCATGTTTCTGTGCCCGGATCTCCCCTTTTCATCAGGGCACAGTCGTGCTGGGTTCAACCCATCCCACTCCAGGGTGGCCTCATCTTAACCCCTCACGGCTGCCACAGCCCCAGGTCCAACCAAGGTCATGCACACGGGTCCTGGGAGGTCGAGGCCCCCACAGTGACTGAGGAAATGCGAGTGAACCTGGGATAACCGGTGAAGAGCACGAGCCTCGGACAATTCCTTCAGCTTTCTGGGCCGTCCCGTCCTGTCTGTGTCTGCGAGATGACCTTGCTGTTCCACCCGGGCCGTGAGGAGGATTGAAGAGGAAACGCGTGTCGAAGGCAAGGCACAGACCAGCCACGAGCAGCTCAGGCCGCACCAGCCACAGTTACAGCCACGAGCAACTCAGGCTGCATCAGGCACAGTTACAGCCACGAGCCACGAGCAGCTCAGCCACAGTTACAGTCGGCCTGATGATGGGAGGCTGCCCCGACCCAGCCCCAGTCTCCACCACCTCTTTCCCTCCATTTCTCTCTCCCATTTTCTCCTCTGACCCAGAATCCTTTCTGCCCCTGTAGCCGAGGCCCAAAGAAAAGGCCTTTCCTCCTGGTCAGAACTCTGTCTCCTTCGTCGGCCCCTTGAGGAGCTGGGAGGGGCCTCTCAGAGCCCCTCATGAGGAAATTCCCAACGTTTCCTCTTAACTGCAGCAACAAAGCTTTTGTTAATTCTCTGTAAGTGTAAATGTTCCCACAGGCCCCAATTACAGGCCTCCAGGGAAGTGAGTTTTCCCAAACAAGCACCATTTTAATTTGAATATCAAACACTTTACACAACAGGGTTGCTGCAGTGGGTTCCCACGGAGCCAGGCCCCGGGAGAGCCAGGGCACCCTTTGGAACCCTGGGATCCCCACTTCAGTCAGCCCCCACTTGCTCTCTCTAAGGAGGTACCCCTGGGACCCAGGACTCCCCAGGCCTCAGAAGTGGAGGGAAAGCAGATTTGGAGGAACCTGGAGCCCCCTGGGGGATGGAGGCCTGGGAGGAACCCTGGCCCACCTTCCTGGAATGCAGCGGGTGGAGGGAAAGGGTCCTGCTCCCAAGGCCCTTGATTTCTGTCTCTTCTTCACTTCACCTGCATTCTGAAAAGAGGTTTTCAATATTTCCAGTGAATACGTCTTCTGTGGCACACCAACGCTGCTTTAAGTTTTTTAGTTATTGGCCAATATTTTCAAAGCAGAAGATTTTGCAGTTTTTCTGGTGTCTGTAGAAGTAACAGAAAATGTGGCTGCATAGACTCCTGTTTCCTCACGGCAGAAAGTGGTGGACCTGAGTAAGTACTGCTGCTTTTAGAAGAATGTGCAAAATCCAGTTTCCCACAATTCCCGTCCAGCCCACATCAAACATCCTGCCCATATCAATACATCCCTGGCTTGTGGACTTTCATATTTGGAATCACTATTACAGAGTTCTCCGACCTCTCTTCAGATCTGCTGTTTCAGGAACAAAGTTCTGCGATCACTACCGTAATCTCCACCACTACCCACTCCACCACCAATACCACCATCACCATAATTATCATCATCATCATCACCATCATCATCACTATCACTATTATCACCATCACTATTATCATCACCATCATTATCACACCATCATCACCACCATCATCGCCATCACCACCATCATCACCATCACCACCATTATCATCATCATCACCGTCACCACTATTATCATCACATAATCACCACTATTTTAATCACCACCACCACCATCATCATTATCAGTCACCATCATCACCATCACCACCATCACCATCACCATCACCACCGTCATCACCACCATCACTATCACCATCATCACCATCATCATCATCACCATTATCACATCACCACCATTATCATCATCACCATCACCATTATCATCATCACATAATCACTACCATTTTCATCACCATCACCACCATCACCATCATCACCATCATCATCACCATCACCATCACCATCATCACCACCATCACCATCATCACCATCATCTCCACCATCACCATCACCATCATCACCACCATCACCACCATCATCATCATCACCATTATCACCATCACCACCATTATCATCATCACCATCAACATTATCATCATCACATAATCACTACCATTTTCATCACCACCACCACCATCATCATTATCAGTCACCAGCATCACCATCATCACCACCATCATCACCACCATCACCATCATCACCATCATCATCATCACCATTATCACCATCACCACCATTATCATCATCATCACCATCACCATTATCATCACATAATCATTACCATTTTCATCACCATCATCACCATCACCATTATCATCATCACATAATCACTACCATTTTTGTCACCACCACCACCATCATTATCAGTCACCATCATCACCATCACCACCATCACCATCACCATCATCACCACCAACACCATCACCATCATCATCACCATCATCATCACCATCATCACACCATCATCATCATCATCACCATTGTCATATCACCATTATCCTCATCACCACCACCACCACCATCACCATCACCATCATCATCACCATCACCACCATTATCATCATCATCACCATCACCACCATCACCATCATCAGTCACCATTATCACCATCACCACCATCACCATCATTATCACCATCATCATCACTATCATCATGGTCTCCACCTCCATCACTACCAACTTCCCTGACACTATCACAACTATCACTGCATATACACACAGAGACTCTGTCTCATCAGATTCATTTGGTACCTCTGACCCCTCTGGGAGCTCTCTCAATACATCCAGTCCATACAAGTTAGTAAAATTGGGTCAGAGCTGGGGGTGGGGGATTAGGTACAAGTGAAGGTGGGTTGGAACCCTCTGTTGAGAATGCCTGTCTTGCACAGTCCTGAAGAAGCTGGTGAAACTTACTCGTGCTGTGCAGCTAGCTTCGGCTCTGTGTCTAACTGAGGAAGGATGCTCATGCCGTGGTTCTCTGGCTGGCACATCACTGTCCTCCAATTTTTCCCTCCTTGTGTAACTGTCCTCCAAAATGTCATTGAAAAGCTGCCTTTTTTTGTTGTTGTTGTTGTTGTTGTTGTTTTTAGACAGAGTTTCGCTCTTGTTGCCCAGGCTGGAGTGCAATGGTGTGATCTCGGCTCACTGCAACCTCCGCCTCCTGGGTTCAAGTGATTCTCCTGCCTCAGCCTACTGAGTAGCTGGGATCACAGGCATGCACCACCATACCTGGCTAATTTTTTGTATTTTTAGTAGAGATGGGGTGTCTCCATGTTGGTCAGGCTGTTCTCAAACTCCTGACCTCAGGTGATCCGCCCACCTCGGCCTCCCAAAGTGCTGGGATTACAAGCGTGAGCCACCACGCCCGGCCTTGCCCTCTCTTAATCTATTGGTTGGGATAAGGTCGACCCAACTCTCAACTCCAGAAATGGCCCATGACTTGTCTGTCCTGTTAACATATACCAAGCCCTCAGCCCAATGATTGGGTCAGGGTTGGGCATGTGGCCCCAGCCAGGCCAATGAGACTCGATTCTTAGACTTTTTTGTAGAGGACCAACAAATGGTGCCTCTTTTCCATGGGGTGGGCACGTCTGGTGGGATGTGGTGAGCAGCTACTGGGATCGTCTTTACCAGCAACAGGGAGCCTGGTTGGGACTGCAGGGCTTGGGGAAGGAAGCAGAGAGAGCTGGAGGCAGAGCCAGGGTCCCCGGGATGCCCTCTGCCCCTGTGCTCAGCTGTGTCACCTGAATCCAGCTGCGTCACCTGAATCCAGCTGTGAACCTGAATCCAGCTGTGAACCCGAATCCAGTTGCGTCACCTGAATCCAGCTGTGAACTTGAATCCAGCTGCATCACCTGAATCCAGTTGCGTCACCTGAATCCAGCTGTGAACCTGAATCCGGCTGTGAACCTGAATCCGGCTGCGTCACCTTCCTTTGCTCTTTTTGCTCTGCCACCTTGAGTTGGGTTCTGCTGCTTGTCGTCACAATAGCCTGGGCACATCCATTTCCTTCCCTGGATGACCCGTCTGGCAATGCCCCAGCCCAGCCTGTCTCCTCTGGGGCTCAAAGGTCACTTGATGCTCTCAGCTTCCACTTCCCTCTCCAGGAAGCAGGGTGAGCACGCCGGCCTCGATGAGCGCACGAGCTACACACAGGCTGCTCACCAACCAAGGTGCCTCCTTGGAATCACCAGAAAGTGGACCCTCGGGGGCTGGGCCCTGTGCTTCCCCACCCACCCAGCCCAGCCTGGTCCCTCTGGTTGGATTCTTAGGCAACAGAATGGCCCCTGTCCCCCTATCTGTGTCCCCACCTCACCAGGCATCTGTCCTTTGAGATTCTGAGCTGAGCACAGCTGTGGGCCTCTGGGGACAGGAGGGATGGACACTGAGAGTTAAAGCTGGGAGAGTCTGGTGGCCTCTTTAGACGTCCTGGCACAGCCCTAGAGGCCAGCGTGAGGACCGAGAGCACGGGGCTACCCAGCCCCTGCCCCAGGAACTCATGAAGGACCCAAGGGCTCCCGGACCTCTGGCCTGGCTGAGCAAGTCCCTGGGCTCTGGGCCGGGTTCTGAGCTGGGATGCAGGGTTGGGTGCAGCAGGCCGGGTGCTCCCATTCCAGTTCCTGCAGCTCTGCAGGGAGCTCTGCCCAACCTGCCTCCCTCAGCCCAGGCTCACCCAGCTGTCGACTCACCATGGTCACGACCCCCAGGGACGGCTTTTCTTGTTGTTTTAAAAGTGCAGGCCCGGGATCCCCCCATCGCCAGCGTGGGACCTCCCACCAGTGTGGGGTTTTCTCATCTGCAAAATAGGCAGAAAAATCTGAAGGTGGCTCTTTCCCGAGTCACGTGGAGGCAGAGGCGGAGCTCGGTGGGCTGAGCAAAGGTGACGTGAGTGGTGAGCGTGTCCGTGTCTCCTGTGCTCTCAACTTGGCACTGCCCGTCACCCCCACGCCCCCGCACGGCCACAGCTGCTGGTGTCCTGGACACTGCTGCTGCCTTGCGAGAGGCCAGAGCCCCCCCTCATCCAGAACGTGGTCCGCAGAGCTGCCACCACCATAGACAAGCGTGGAGACCCCTTTTGTGAGCCTGCAGCTCCATGATGGGGCACGTAGGTCACCCCGGTGGAGGGCCCTGTGCTGACCTCCAAAGAAGCCTCATTAAGGCTGATGACAGAAAGACACTGGGGGAAGGGCGGCCTCTATGAACACCCCGGGAAGGGACTGGCTGCAGCAGCGTGGAAGCGAAGGACCACGGATGGCAGAGACTCAGGCCGAAGAGCTTGGCTCATGCTCTTAAAAAGAATACAGGAAAAAAGTGGGTCATGGTGGCACACACCTGTGGCCCCAGCTACTTGGGAAGAGGCTGAGGCGGGAGGATGGCTTGAGCCCGGGAGGTCAAGGCTGCAGTGAGCCATGATCGCGCTGGTGAACAGCCACTGCCCTCCAGCCTGGGCGCACGGCCAGGCGCACAGCCACTGCCCTCCAGCCCGGGCGCACGGCCAGGCGCACAGCCAGGTGCACAGCCACTGCCCTCCAGCCCGGGTGCACAGCCAGGCGCACAGCCACTGCCCTCCGGCCCGGGCGCACAGCCAGGCACAGGGCTTTGCTTTCATGGAATAATAGCCCTGTGTTGTGGTCACACAGGATCTTGCAGCTGCCACAGGCTACAAGCTGTGTTGCGTTTCTGCAACTCTGGGCAAATAGGGAGCAGTGGAATCTTGGTGCCTTCTCTGGGTTTCCGGGAATTCATCTGGGGGCTGAGCCTTCTCATGGAAGGCACACGTGCTCCCCAGCAGCAAGCCCTCCCTCTTCTCGGAACCCCACGGGCCATCCGCCTTCCACTCTTAGATGAACATCCGCTGAGCACAATGGCATCCCAGGCTGGGCGTGACTCAGCAGACACAGGGCCTCCACCTCAAGGAACCCGGCCTGCCAGGGGCCCCCAAACCCCGACCCCACCCGAGGCGACAGTGGCTCAGGGGGCCCTGAGGGAGGCCCCTATCCCGCCCTCGTCCCGGGTTTCTTCTCGTGTTTATTTTTTCTCCATGTCTCTGTTTGCATCCTTCTGTGTTTCTCCTGCATTTGGAGAAGAGGCACCCAGTCTCCACGCTGACCACAGCTCTGAGCTCACCCGTGCGGGCAACGCAGGAGGCCTCAACAGGGCGCCCACTGCCCAGCTGGCTGTGAGTGACGCCTGCATAGCTCAGGAAGGCAGAGACTATGGCAAGTGTATAGGTGAAGCCGACACTAAAAGACGGACAGCCCTACAGACACCGCCAATCCCTAGAAGCAGCCAAGGCGGCCGTGTCCACCCCCTGCCGGGGGCCCTTCCTGCACAGCTCAGAGATCCCAGCCCTTAGCTGCCACTCCCGACCCAGAGCCCAGGCCCAGCCTCTGCCCCAACCCCACCAAGCCTGTGTGCACGCCCGCCAGGCCACTCCTCCACAGCCCCTTCCTTCGAGGCCCCGAGCGTTCACTCCAGGCACCACATTCCCCCCAACCCTGGAAGAAACTGCTTCTCAGGGGA